ACTTAAGATATAATACAAGCCTGGAGAAAAACTCCAAGTAAAAGAAAAAAAACATCAGCTAATGTCCAGTAGAATATCCAAATAACTTCACCACAAAGTCATCCGATCAACGTTTCTTGACCTCTCTCTCGAGTCAATCAATCATGTTTTCCTGTTGACCCCAAACTGCTCTCATTTAACCTAAATGAGTGCCCAGGGAACTACAAGCAGTCATTCACAGTGAAAAATTTTGGTCAGCCATGTTTGCCAACCAAGGGTTAGCCCCAGCTCTGCTCCTTTAATGGCACAGGGTCATCTTGTTGCCAGGGAACACTTGAAAAGGTGACCTTTTGGCTTCATGTTGCTGGTTAAAACCACTGTGGAAATAACCAATGTGAGGATATCGAAATAACTGTTTGTGTCCATTCTTTCTTCCATAACTGTCTTGTTGTTTAAAATAAATCAAACGCATGGACATGGCTATCCCCAAACACAAATTTGCAATATAACTGAAGCAATCACAAGGTCGCAACTTCAGTAAACTTCAAAGTAACCATGATAACACATATTTCTCTCAGTCTCTTTCATGACTCACAACTTTGCTGTCAGAGAGCAAAGCAAAACTTCAAAAGCTCTGGCAGGGTCAGTGCCTTCTGTATAAGTCCCTTTGATTCCCAATATAGTCACGGAAAGGCTTCCTGGCCCAGATAGAAAGAGGAAAGGGGAGTGAGAAAAGGGGGATCAAATGGGATAGAGGTTTGTTTTGTTCTCTCCTCTCTATCTGTTGAAGGTTCCTGGCTGATGCAGCCTGTTGTTTAATCTCAGCAGGCACCATGGCTCGGTGTGAGGCTGCGTGGTCAGGAAAAAGGCACTCCAGTGCAGAGAGACTTCAAACACAGCCAGGGTGTCAGAGGGTGACTCAACACATACAAAGGTAAAAAGAGCAATAGTGGGAAGACGGGTTGAGAGAATACCGGATGTACTGAACTAAATGACGAAGGATATGGAAAGATATATGTCTGCTAAGAGTTTCATACTGTACATCTGACCACTAAACGTCAGAAATCACAGGATGGCTTAGTGGTACTTTTATGTTTGAACCTTTACCTGCGCGGTTCAGACTGACTAATGATGACTAATTAGCCAATCCTTAGTTCCTAGCATAAAGGGCAGCATATTTCATGTGACTACGTCACTATAGAAATATGTTGACTTCAGCGGTGGTCACAGTGTGTAACTGGTTACACCAGTTTGTTAGCCTGTGAACCAGACAAATCTGCAAGGTTATGTTTTATGCTCTGGCAGATGCATCTGCCCCCCCACCCTTTTCAGATTTCCTCGTCCTGTATCTGGTCAGGCTAATCACAACCGTTTATCTAATTTGAGGTGGGTTTGATCCGATGACACACGTATTGGCCGTTGAGGCATTTTCGTAAACAACCAAGATGGCGGCCATTGATGTGGAACTGTTTCTGTTGAATCTGCTATCACGTTAGTATTAAACCGACTTAAACCGTGTGTATTTTCTCTAAAAGAACAATAAACAATTACACTTAAAGCTTTTGTTGATAAGAAAGATGTTTTTGCAGTACTTTTGACAGGATCTGCTAAAAGCCTACACGTTTCGTTGCTGTGAGTGGTTGTAGGCTCAGAAATGGCTGTGTTCCTTACGGAAACTTAAGAAGGCAAACTTTCTGGTGCCAAGTTCTTCTTAACTTTTACAGAGGAGCAGAGCCCAAAGGGTACTAAAGACAGCACGCACCACAGCTACAGCCTGTTCACTCTGCTGCTGTCTGGCAAGTGATCAAGAAGTATCTCCTGTCACACCTGTCATATACTAGCAAGCTAATGTTCATTTTGCCTTTCAGTTCAGTTAGCTAGACAACTGGGTGTCCCGTTTTAATTTAGTGATGCCTAAACCCCTGCTCTGTAAAAACTTTCCATATAGCTAGATTGAGTTTGAAGTTGCCAAGTTGGTGCACCCCACTCCAGCGTTCTGATAAACTATGGGCTCAAAAAATTTCGAAAACACTTCAGGAGGATGGCCTATACAGTGGCACTATGCCAAATACTGTGAGGTAGCCAAGACTGTCAGTGTGGAGCTAAAATTAAAATCAAACCTAGGGTTCACTCTAATGACTGTATCGATTCACATGTAATTTGTTACATCTCACAAGATTCCCAAATACAAGAGGGAAAACGTCCCAGAATAAGTCTCATGGGGTGATTTGTAATCTTTATAGCTGTAACTACATCTGATAAATAATCAAGCACTCCTTGTGTTTATTGTGACTAAAAACAATGCAATGAACCATGAATGGAATGCAGCCTGGAGGGCAATACGTTCTCAGGCCGGCCACTTTCTGTGTTTGGGTTTCTCAGATATTTGCTGTGTAATGTTTACAGAAGCTTCCAGAGGAACCTCAACTGAGCTAATTTATGAGAGCCGAGGTTTGCTATTGTTAATGTTTAATATTTGGGTAACAGTGTCATGTGGTAACAACGGTTCCCAGAAGCAGAGAAGTTTCAAGAGGCTCTTTAGAAGTGATTCATAGATGCTCAGCTTGACAGAGAGCCAACACCCACCTCCTTTAATCTCCCCAGTACATATGTTTTCCTGACATATAAAAGGAGACATATATGACTTCCACTTACATAATAATCTACTCAGAATGAAGTATTTCCTTGGTCTGAAGTTGAACGCTATCATCGCATCGACAGTGGAGAAAATCTCATGTGACGCACAGCATTAGGGTTGTGGCTAACCTTGACATTCATTAAGTATTTTTCCTAGACGAAACAAAATATTCATGCTATGGGACAGGCCTTATTAAGTTTTCCACGGCTTCATAAATCTCCCAACATGGGGCTCCTCGTGTCTGGAAATGTAATAAGACTGACACAGTGGATCTAATGTGCCACATCCATCACCAGTATTAGCGTGACTGCATTACATTCTCTTTAGGACAAAAGCGATGTTTATAGAGTTCAGTTTATTTTAAATTATTGGAAAAGCAATACAACTGTGAAACAAACCAGAAGCCCAGAGAGAGAAAGCCTAATTAAACCAGAATAAAGTAACTTGACAGTTGTGTATGTCAAGTATTTACTTGGTATCTGTGATGGGGCCACTGTATCTCTGACCCCCAACCAAACCAACTCCAGTAACCCATATCTCGTATCCTCATTTGGTAGCATGGTGACAGTATTCCAGATACTAGACGGTATTGGTATCCCTTCATCTTGTGGCACAGGCCCAACTCCAGCATATAATTTGCTAATGGATCCCTGCTGGAAGCCTCGGTCGGGACTGCACCAGCGTAATTATTTGTACTCAAGCGAAGTAACTGAGGACTAACCGAGGGACTGAATAAATCATTGTTTTGCACTCTGATCCCAAACACGGTCATGTCATTCACCCTCAGAACAGGGTGACTGTATAATTACTGACAGAGAAATCTGAAAAAAATATTGAGTAACTTCATTTGACTGTAGTGTAACCTGTCTGTGGGGTTTTCTTGCTCACTCCAAGGGGAAACGTGATATGGGTAATAGGTTCCTTCTTGCTTGGAATAAGGAAAAACATAAGTCTGCAGTTGGACCAAAACATCCGACTGGATATTTGGCTGAAAGACAGTGCTTGTCTTTGCTGCAAAGACTGTGTCAACTGGTTCTCCTGTTCATGCAGGAAATGTACACTTATAAGGCCAGAAGGAGGCCTAAAAGGCAACTTTTATTTATGTGTAGTGTACCATGTAGCTCTGAGGAATTTTGACTCATACATATTACAACATGAACTCACAGAACCTGTTCTGTATGTCCAATTACTTCTAGGGCCACTAGCTCTAGTCTCAACACTTCCCCCCTGAGGGACATTAGTAAGTCATGACATGAAATCTGGGGAAGTTGAGAGAACTCTTTGGGGTTTTAATTGAATTGCTGACAAGGAGGTCACGCTGCCATTTACAAGGCTCTTTGGTTTAGTGGCCTTAGCCCAGTTCAGCTTGACAGGGAGCTTAAGCTTACCAAAGCCTCTTGGAGGTAGAGATAAGGAAAGGCAGCATAAAACCATATAAAGCTGCTTTGCACTTGGAGTGAGACAAAGTTACAAGTACGCTTAATGTGCCTGGATAAAGTGATTATATCTGTCTGGAACTAATGGAACACTAAATGTGTCCTTTGTGTCCAATCTTGTTATTTTATGCATTTCATATCATGCAAGAAGAAACTCCTTCATCCATGATTTCACGAGTGCTAGATGAGATCCTATAATGACACAGAGGGGACTATGGGCAGAGTGAATAATTGAAGACTAATCCAACAAGGCAGCATTTCCAAAGCCAAGTCCTGATGTCAGATCCCAGTCTGAGAACTACTGAAGTACTGTGCCCCATGGCCACTCATTCATTTGCAAGCCAAAGAGACCAAGGTTCTCATCTTTCCTGTAATGACTTTCCCTGTATACTCTGTCTGGAACGTCAATTATCACATGAAAGATAAGAAGCTAGTGAGACGCATAAAAATTACTATAACATGGCAGACCATCAAATATTCTGCACGGCTGGCATTTCAATTCCAATTCTGTCCCCTTTCTCATTGGTGTTATTTTGAGTCCAAGCAGTGCACTCAAGATAGACACTCATGAGCTTTTGCTAATGTGATTCCTCGTCTATGATAACTCTTGGTATGACATCCTAAATGTGGTGCTAAATGGCATTACTTTGCTAATAGCTTGGGAATTTTTTAAAGGGCACAAATAAGCAACAATTTGCCATATTTAGAATAATCTTCCAGGCTTTGCGTTTTATCAAAAGGAAAAAATGACATGGAGTGACAAAGTCAATTAACGAGGGTAATGTTCCATGCCACATTACACAGCAAAGACTTCATTATTAATAGATTATTCTTAACTTAAATTTTCCAAAAAAGGAAACCGCCATAATGTTCACTTTCCATCTCATTAAGATTACATGGCCAGTTGCTATATGTTTTTTTTTTTGTATTAAAAAACGTACACAATGTGAGCCAGAAGAAAATCACAATATATTATTTCTTTCCACAAGAAAATTAGCTGCAATCGATAAAAAAACATTTTTAAAAGCAGGCAGCATAAAATACAAATGTCAAACAAACCAGCATCAAACGTTTAAAGCTAAAACAACAAATCAATGTAAAGCTCTCGTTTTTTTTCCCCTCTTTTTGACAACAGGCATTTAAAATACATGTGTTTCACATATGTCCATCACCATCACATCGCCCATCTGGAGTTAACAGGGTTCTGCCTCGGGTCTAAATGATCTATAAGACAATCAAAATTGCTTTGGTTTTCAGTCAAGCATCTGAGCATTGAATGTGTTACTAATCTCGTATACATGTGAATTAAAAAAATGGCTGAGTGGGGTTTAGCTTAGGAACTTCCATCGGTCAAAGCATGTAAGTAAAAATAATTAAAAGCTTAATGTTTACAGTAGGCAGTGCTCAGAATTTGGCATGGGAGTAATTGCACTTGCTGTAACACTTAAACTTACCACTTTAAAAACAGCACACCCTCTTGAAACACAGTCCAATTTTCCAAATAGCTGCTACCATCCTAATCTACGCCTTTACTTAAATCAGATGATTGTGGTTTTATTTTCCCTTTCTTCAGTACTTTTAGGCTAGGAAGTACTGCTAAAAACTGCTGAGGTACTGGATAACTCCACAATAAATATAATATTTAATCATAACACAGAACACTTTTTCCATTGAACTGACCTGCATGATAAAATATTAAGACATAAAGAATTGTTAAGATGTTTGAAGTGGCAATGGTTTGATGAGGTGTGTTCAATCCACTATGTAAAGAGGCTGGATTCAAGCTAAAAAGGAAGTCACACACATCTTGGGTGTGGCTACAAGGAGGACCATGTGAAGCGTGTGTGAAAGATTAGCTGACAGCTCTGTTGATTTGTCAGTGTTAATTTTTACATCTTTCTTCACGAAATATCTCAGTAGTCTCTGTAACCACCGTGATTCGCTTTTCATTATCCAAAGCAGTAGTATTCATCTGATTCCACCCTGAGTTTCAGTGGCGATTTGCTGAAAGCATCACCATCAATGACCGTTTTATCCGCAAAACAGTCAAGATCCGTAGGTGAAGGGTCATCCGAGAGGTCCTCTGCTAGAGTGTCCAAGTAGCTGCCCACTGACAGACCGTCTAGTCCGTCACTGTTCCCATCATTCAAGCTGCTGAAGCTGCCTCGCAGTGAGTTGCCGTCCTGGCTGTCCGACAGGCTGTACAAGCTGCCTGTCAGGCTGCCCTCTTGGCTGGCCACGCCTCCTTTGTCTTCAGTCATCCAACGGATGGCCTCGATGCCCTCGTTGATTGACATAAGCTGCTGCATCAGCTTCACGTCGATGGCTCGCAGGTGTGCCTATGAGTTGGAGAAAAACATCCCAGTCAGGTTATGGTTCTGTAAAGAGGGGCCAGCATTTTGGGAACTATGCCTATTCCATTTCTTGCCGCGAGTTACATTAAATACAAGGCAACAGCCAGTTAGATAGCTTAGCATACAGATGGTAAACAGCTAGCCTGGCTCTGTCCATATGCACCATCCAGCACCTCTAAACTCACTAGCTAACAAGTGTAAAGATGACTTTCTGTTGTTTTACTAAGCAGTTATGCGCCAGACTGTTTCTTAGCCAGGAGTAGTAACTTCCTGAAGTTTTTGTCATCACTGTGAGATTGCCAGGAGATTCCAGGGGGTCACTGTGCCTGTTGATGAAATTGATAAACTAAGCTAAGCTAACCCACTGTTGGCTGTAGTCTTATATTAAAAAAATTGATATAAGAAAGGCATAAATCTGCTCAGCAAGAAAGTGAGATTTCCCACACTACATGAAACAGAATATAGATATAAGTCTATATAATACAAAAATCAGTACCATCGTCATTGCTAACTATTGTTAGCACTGATGTTCAAACAGCAGTTGAGAAAACAGTCTCACCACACAGTTCATTTAGTAGCTGTTCTGGCTCTTTTGATCACAACACATCATTTCCACCAGAGATTGAACCTTCACTTTTAACCCAATGCAGATGCGAGAACTTAAAGTGCCCATAAATACATTTAAATTTGAACATGTAAAATTCCTCTGCTAATGAAGATGTGATATGGACGGAAGCTTTAGATCTACTAATTTAATGCTGCAGTGAGATGTTTTCCCCCCTCAACAATTATTTGCATTCTTATGTCCTCCCATGGCCAGAACACTATGTCCTATTTTGTTTAGACTATCAGGCTTTGTTGTGAACAAAGAGACTTAACTATGTGGCACTGGGAAAAGGACTTGCGCTACTCATATAACAGCACAGCCAGGAAGCAGTTTGCATCCAGGATTCTGAATGACATGTCTGCTTTACACAGTATGGCCATTGATTTATCTCCATGCCATGACAAACTGTGCCATTGACTGGGGATAGACGTGGACAGCCTGTTGGGAGGGGGGTCATTCAAAGGAAGTCCCCTGTGTCTACTGGGTGACAAACACCCAGTCAGAACAAAAAATGGTCAACAGACAGCTGTAACAGCCTGCTACATTCAAAACGCACTGAGGCAGATGAAGGCAGACAGGGCCGGTGCAGTGTTTCAGACAGCTGGCTTGATACAACAGCCTTTCTTTAGCTCATATTGCTGCCTGTGTGTTTGTTTTGTGAGTATACCCACCCGCTTTATACACAAATGGATGCTGAGCAGATGGAGATCATACTGGAATTGTAGTAGGTATCTCATGTAAATAAGATGGCACCAGTGGGTTGGCATCACAAAATGAGTTCAGGAAACACAATTAGTGCGGCATCATTTTGTCTGTGCTGGATAGTAACACCGAACCTAAAGCAACATGTTTAATTTGTCATATGAAAATAATAAGAGCTGGCCTCTAACCTTTCGGGGGAACAGAGAATTAATTTGCGCCTTTGATGGGCTGTAGATTATTTCAGCCTGTCAAATAATGTAAAAAGGTGCTAAACACAAGGATGTTGCCAAAAGTGTGTGTGTGTGTTTGTGTCTACCAGACACGTGCACACCAAAACACAGCAGTCTGATTGGATTAGTGATTAAGCTGCTGAGGGGAGCCACAAAAAATACAGGGAAGCCCAAGATGGCCCAAATGAGCGGTCTAACAATAAAAGGGCCACTAATGGAATTACACTAAATTAATTAAGTTAGCACTAATTAAATTGTGGCATGACTGCTGGTGAATTTGACGATTCAGGTTGACTGAAGCAAACAATTTCAGGATACAAAACGTGCCAGTTACAGGTGTCAATTGCTCCTTCCCATCAACATAAGCCTATCAACACAGACTCTGTGAGTAATTGGCCAGTCTGCCGGCAACGATGCAGCCCTACTACAGTCTGCGAATCTCGGTCACCTAGGCCATCTGCTCGGGAATCCTAATACCTTTCCATCCTGACCTTACTTAAAATGGGCGGTTGGCTGTGGCTCTGGATCAAACAATGCAAGAGTAAGGGGCATGGCTTTTGAAAAATAATTTCATGTTGGGTGTTAGCAGGTGAAATGATGTAATCTGTGAAAAGGCAATTACACAAGCACAGTTGGATTTCACGGAGTAATTTCAATGACGGATGGGAGGGGGGTATTATTCCGTGGAGTGAGGAGGGTTCATCACCAGAGGTCTCTGCTGACTCTAGGATTGCAGATCGCTTTTTAAAGGCAATGAAGCACCCATCCCTGGAACTTTGCAAGCAAGTGTTAACATATGCAAATCTGTTTTGCATCTAGCCTGAGCATTCTGTGTGCCCATGACTTGGCTGTCACAGCAGAGACAGAGAGAGAGCAGGCGCACCAAAATTCAACTTACCTGTCATGAAACGACGCTAAATGGGCATTAGCTGACTTGTGCATACAGTTACATTCATAACCCCCCTCCTTCATTTGAAGGTTTGTAGATAAATAACGGTGCAGTTAGGTTTTGACCTAGTTTATGGGTTACAAGTCTGTAAACTTTAAAAAGAAGAATATAAAAGCAGCACTATCTGTTTTGTTTGTTTTTGGCTGGGTCGCATATAGCACACTATGTGGTTTGTAAGGTATGTATTTTTTCTTGCTAAGCTACTGTAACGATTCCTTACAGTAGCTCAACAGCTCGTTCACATAAAGTGGTCACACGAAAAAAAAAAAAAGACTCTTACCATTTCTTGCTTCAGGAACAGCATTTTGCTCTCCAGCCTTTTCAAGTCCGCAGAATTATTATTACAATTTAATACTTTGCAGTTGACTAAATGCGGCGTGGCAGACTTCTCGTGCTCGTCGTGGTGTTTCCCCCCAACAAGAGAACGAATGAGACTCTCCGGGACTTTTCTCCCCAATTTTGTCTCTATCTCCTTCAGCTCAGGCAAGACGTTGTTGTCCTCGTCCATTTCCAAACTGTCAAGAAAGATGGCACTTTTTCACTGTATGGTTTTGGAGCATGCAGAGGAGCAAATTACAGAGCCGCGAGTTCGGAGATAGTCCCAATGATACGCTGGGACGCTGGGAGACGCGCGCGGGCTACATCCACACAGGGGAGTTCAAAGTAGCAACAAAAAGTTGCGACAGGCTCGTTGCCCTTACAACTTCCTTCAGCCACCTCAGACTGGAGTGCTGAGCCAAAAGCATTACACTGAATCCAGCGCACCGCTGTTACACCAACAGACCTCCCATTCAAGCGCCTGACCAGTAGTGAGACGGTTTAACGACAACGTACTGTCAGTAGGCCCTCCCAAAAAGGCGCTTCCTCTGAAACCTGACACCTGACAGGTGAGGCAACACCGGCCGGGCGGCCTGTTTTGAAATACACCGAATAACGTAACAGTGAGTACATTTTTTCCAGGAGTCCAACCATTAGGCAGACCTGGCTATAACCTGGGGTAAGCACTGCAAATTACTAGACACACATTATTGGTGTGTGTATTACATTATGTTGTAATCTCATGAGTGTCAGTGCACAGCCAGCCGACCTCCAGTCTCAGTGTAAAGTCGAACAAACCACTGTGTAGGCAACGTAAAATTTAATCATTTAAATAATTTGGCATGGGCCCAGATTCAACAACATTTTAGATATGTAAAAACAGAAGAAGCAGTCATGACCATTTCACGTGACATTAGCTTTTTAAATGACAGGAAGGGCAGACAGCTGCATAGGTAAAACGGTCAGTACACAGTTCAGTAAGGTCTCAGGATTATAACATGTTGCCACTTCTGAATGACCTCCCCCTGTGTTTTCTTTTTTTTTTATGTCTTTGTTCATTTATAACACATCAGGTCAATCATTCAATCAGTTTTTCTTAATACATCATTACAAAAAAAAAGACACAAACACACACACACACACACACACAAAAACAAGGCCACCCTAAAGTAGATCTCTTATCAACAGAGTTTCAGAAATTGAACTGGTGCACCCCCTTGTGGTCATTATGGCTCTGTTACACGGGCAGTGGAATCCATTACCAAACACTAAACTGTGAAACACAGCAAACGTTACAGCCTATACACATGGTAGAAGTTGTAGACCTGTAAGTGTACGCTTTTTAATTATCTTGCCTGTATTACTTGTATTAATCTATTTATCTAAATGTGTTCAAAAAGTCACTGAACATTCTGAATCACCTTATAAGTGAAATATTAAAACTACAGGTGGCATCACTGCTGATACTGACCACTGACTAGATGCAGCGCCACCTGGTGGCATCGCTATCACACTAACACTTCAGTTGTCCATGTTCACTTTATTTGAACACATTTTTTCCTGAAAATCTGATAAACATCAAAGATTACAAAATTGCATCTCCAATGCGTGCTCATGGAAATGAGTAATTGTTGACATCTGTGCTATTTGTAAAGACAATTAAACTACACCGGCTTTGAATGCAGCAAAAAAAAAAAAAAAATTACTTGTAGCATTCAGGGATCTACACATGCTCTCCAGTGAGAGCAGATTCAGGCTTTGACAAACTGTGCAGTTGTGTCACTGTAAAAGCATAGAGAGGAAGGCACGTAGGTGTGGCTCGCCTTTGAACGCCGATCCTAGACTACAGACTGGCTTTTTTCGTCATCGTAGCGCTGGTACTGATCCCCAAGCAGAGGCTGGTGGCCCTCCATCTTGCGAGACCTGGCACGCACGGCACATGTTGTGACGGCGAAGATGGCTGCGACGAGCACGAGGGCAGAGACTATGGCCATGGTGATGATTTCGCTCAAAGTGAAAGCTTGACCTGGAAACACAAAAAGTCAGTGATCATTACCTATGTCATCTGCATTTCTTTGAAGGCAAGATTGACAACAGACGCCCGAATGATGGGATGAGTAATTCAAAATGAACACCTGGCCATTCAGCTTCATAAGAGTAACCAAGATTTTCAGGGGCAGTCATGAACATCTCAGCGTTGCTCACTGGAGGCCAGAAAGGCACCATGTTATAGCCCCTGTTGTGACCGATGGGGGCATTTTCTTCAGGATACACAGCCGAATCTGTCAAGAAATACCTGAAGTTAGCCCAAAAGCAATAAAGCAGGAAAATGTGAAGGTACAACAAGAACTCTTCTCTAAATCAGATTTTGCAGCTTAAACACCTGGACCGTGTCTCCTCAACCACTCGTCAAATATAGCGTCGGTGTAGGTGTGGAGCAGGATGAAGATGGGGTCATTGGGTGAGAGGTGAGTCTGTCCTCCTGTCCCATTCAGGAACAGATGGGCCAGGTTGTGGAGGCTCCTCACCACAGGGTCATAGTTCCCCTTGGGGGCACTGTATCCTGCCGAAACAACACGAAGACGCATAAGGAAATGCAAAAACTGTGTGACAGACAGATAGAGGAAGACATATCTTTGCCGTCACCTTCTATTGTGTTTCGGAAGCTTTCAGAGGAGGTAGAGTAGTAGGGCGGCGTGTCAAAAGTGTTAACCTGCAGACAGTCCGCCACATCCTGGGGCTCTGGGAGACGCTGGACCATCGGCCTGTTGACATTTCCTGCTGGGTTCCTCCTGATGGGAGAGGTCTCAGTGCCTGAAAGGAGGCAGGGAGGGGAGCCAAATAAGATAGACTACAGCAATTTCCCTGCACTTGAAGAATAAAGAGAATGACCACCACTGGCGTGTTTCATGGTGAATAAACAATAGCCTCACTGTTGCAGATTGTTCCCAGCGTGTCATAGTCTGCCACGCTCTCACAGATGACCCTCCACTGAGAGAAAATAGAGTTGGGGCTCAGGGAATTCATGTCAAAGCTGCTCCTGGCTCCCATCAGGTCATCTGTGCAGATATCACATGTGCTGCCGCCGATGGCAAAGTTCCAGTAGGGCAGGGCGAAGGAGGGGTTTTGCAGCATATCCTGGGTGAAATAAATAAATGAGCTGAGTTAGAGTTTGGGAAAGTGAAGATCAAAGATCAAAATGTAAGGAAACCACACTTTTATGTTTATTTTAGGTATTCTTGTCCCCTAGGTAATATCAAAGTATCCATAAAGTCTCATTTGGTAATGGAGTCATAGTGCACAGAATAAATTGAAAATGAATCATTTTCACACACTGATTCTGCTTTAAAGACCGTCTATGACAATATCTGTTCACCATGCATGAATAAACCTGCAATAAATGATAATTGGCTCTTTAATAGCTTTTGTGGAAACAAGTTTATATATATTTTTATATCCAAAACTTTTAGAAAAGACAATACTTTTTAAAAAAGTTTAAGTGTGACGCTCTTTCGCACCTTTTTTTTGGTTAGTGCAGAAATTCCTAAGGTGTAGATACAGGATTTGTTGATCAAGCTCAATAGCTTACTTTTTGTTCCTTTGAAAAAAAAAAACATTACAAAGTCACCAGATCCCATTCTGAAACACTCCTCTCTTTGATCAGAAAAGCACAAATGGATCCTAACTATGGCTCATGAAACCAGCCACTAACGTGCATTAGAAGAGTGAGATGTTGAGCTGCTGCCAGATATTAAGAACTCTCCCTCAAACTGTGCCCCTCCAGCAGGGAAAAAAGGAATGACTAATTAGGGAGCACATCTTAACCATAGACCTGCTAAGGATGGAGCTTCTCAGCAGGAGTCCAACAATCTGCCAGGGTTTCAAAATCACAGGACTCGGTTTCTGCGCTTTGTGAACCGGATGGATGTAATAATGATACCAACTCTATGCTGGGAGTGAATGCGATTGATGAAGGTTAATAACTCCTTTCACCAATAATCAGTTCAGTGCAAATCGAATAGCAGCCTATAAAACGCGTAAAATCACAATTTGCGCGCTGCTCGCCTATCAAAGCATGACATTGCCTCAACACAATTGTGGGAGGAACGCATTAGACGAAACAAACAAGTTGGGGAAACGACAGCTGGGTTCATGTAGGCTGTTAGTTGGCGATATAAAATGTGAATAAACAGGTTGCGATTACTCTCAGGAAACCACAGAAACAAAATCCATTCGATTATTTTCTTTATCTCAAAACACCCCCACCACATCAGTTCTATTTCACAGCACGAGTGTGTGTGTGTGTGTGTGAGAGAGACCGTATCTTACCTGCATGTCTCGCTCCAGCTGCAACAGGTGGTATCTGTGCCAAGTGACAAAACCGGGGCCCTCGTGTGAGAAGTCCACTCCCCCGAAGCTGGCCTGTCCCGCGCCCAGGAACGTCTTGCTGACCGAGTAGTAGTGGGACCACACGAAATAATTGTAGATGGTGACGTTCTCGAACTGCACGGTGTTCCCGTCGGGCCCAAAGATCTCCTGATAGCGCCGCGTAGCGATCACCAGGTTGGGGTGCACCGTGCGCTTGGCCTGGTCCAGCGCGTTCACGAAAGCACGCTTCTCCTCAGCGCTGAGCTGCATCACGTTTCTCCTTACTGGGGGGATTACGGCAGAGGAAAAATGGATTAACAGTCATGCGTTAATTGGGGATCAGTTTTAAATGGCTGAGAATGCCCTTCTCGAAGATTCAGGGGTGTAACTATTTCAAATGTATTTCAACTTGTTTCACAGAGCCCTAATTCGAATAATCTGTCTTTGTCCTGTAGAAATTGTTTCTGCTAGTTGTGACCTCTCCTGACTCCCCACAAGTCAATATCCCATAACATTATTATTTGAGTATTTTCCCAAACTCCCCCGAGGACGCGCACTTACCAACAGGAACTCTCAGGTTACAGGTGGGCCCCGTCCATCCGTGTTTGCAGCGGCCGCAGTTATAACCGCTGAAGTTTCCGTTACACCGACAGGTACTGTTGAAGAACCGGATGGGCCATCGTTCCCGATCGTCCCGTCCGTCGTGCGGGTACTGCGGGCCGTGCGGGCGCGCGTCCGCCGCGATTGGCACGCACTGTCCGCGCCCAGCGCTGGCGCCACACGGGTCGTTGTTGAGTCCAGAGGGCGACGGACAGCACCGTCCACTCCTGAGTCCTTCGGGTGTCACACACTCTCTGGGGAACTGAGCGCTCACGAACGCCGCGCCCACAAGCACCAAAAACCAGCACCGAGACATTTTACGCACGATGATCTGTCAGTTTTCCTGACTGAATATCTACCTGTAAATATGCACTTCAACTAACCCTTTATCCTAAATGAAAGTGTATCACTTCAACACATCAGGAATTACTTTCTGTCAACTTGGTGGTGTGTAAAACGTCACCTCCCATGCGCCCCAGCCCCTGCCTTCTAATTTCCCCAAACCAGTGAACCGTCGACTTTAAATACCGGATTAGCGCATGACTACCAGGATTTTCTGACTCCCGCGTGATGCCATCACATAACATCACATTTCCTACTGGGAATGGAGGGAAAGAAGGCAGTGTGATCCCTCATGCACTACATTGTTCTTCTACAAACTCACTGGACTTGTGCAGTTGCCTGAAATAGTCCAACATTAAATGTGAGGAAGTATAATTAATCACAAAACTGTTTAAGATTAAAACACAAATTATGATGAATGAGTACAGGCCTACCCATAAACTTTAATGCCTGTACATGGACTGTAACGTTTCTGCACACTTTTATGGGCACTGCATGAAAATTAATTCGTTATGAAGCCATAGCTTTTTACAAATGCAGCCCTCTGGCGCACAAGTAGATTGTGGAATTAAAATAATCTACTTGGGGCTGCAAGCAAGCTCATAAATACAATACGGGTCTTGTTTAAATGATCTACTATTGCACTTTTGTCTATTACTGAATATCAAATAGAAAGGCACAAAATAACCCCAAAATGAGCTATTTTGAATACCCTGGTTGCCCCAGTGTATTAAAGTAATTCCCTTTACTGTATAAAATGGCAGAATCTAATCTTAAAACGCCTCAGAATGTTTGTTAAAGTGATCATATTTCTGGTCTTTTGACATCTCATGGAAGCCTCTCTCTCTCTCTCTCCCCCCTAGAGGTGTAGGCTGCTTGTGCTGCCATGAGCACATGAGTGAGACATGGAAGCATGGAAGACATTTATTCAGCAAGAAGTCCTCTAGCAATCTAGGAATGCAGCATTATTTCTCCACTTTCTGGGTTTCAAATCAAAGTGAAGCAGATGCAGTAAGTTCAGTTCAGTTAAAATGCATCTCATGTGCAATACACTTAAATCAATCAATCAAAGTTTATTTATAGAGCACTTTAAAAATCCAAAGTGGACACGAAGTGCTGTACAGTAAAACAATAAATGAATACACTAAATACAAAGCTCACACGACCCATAAAATTCAAATAAAAACATTAACAACTATAAAATAAAAGAATAAAATCAATACAACCAAAACAAGAAATGTCAATTTCAGTTATCAAAGGCCAGGGAAAAGAGGTGGGTTTAAAGAAGAGGCTTAAAAACAGACAGTGAAGATGCTAATGTGCAGAGGTTTAGAAGCTGCTACGGCAAAAGCACGGTCCCCTTTAAGCTTGTGCTTTGTTTTGGGCACACTTAGGAACAGTTGATCGGCTGACCTGAGAGAACGGGTGGTTCTATAGTGGTGTAGCAGCTCAGAGATGTAGGGTGGGGCAAGACCATTAAGACATTTAAAAGCAAATAAAATAATCTTAAAATGGATCCTTTGATGTATAGGCAGCCAGTGGAGTGAGGATAAAATGGGGGAAATGTGCTCATATTTACGTGTTCCAGTTAAAAGATGTGTAGCAGCGTTTTGAACCATCTGGAGACGAGCAATAGAGGACCCACTGACCTCCACGTACAGTGCATTACAGTAATCCAGCCGAGTAGTGACAAAGGCCTGGATTACTGTCTAGAAAAAACTGATTTATTTTGGCCAGTTCCCTCAATTGAAAAAAGCTTGTTTTAACTACTGACCTTATCTCTCTGTCAAGCTTAAAGTCAGAGTCGATTGTTGGCTTGATATACTGACTCAAGGAACCCAGATCGGCACGGGGGATCCCAGTGGTGCCACCAAAAAACATCACTTCTGTCTTACTTTCATTAAGACTTAAAAAGTTAAGAGTCATCCAGGCCTTTATGTCATCAAGACATTTAATGTAGTGGTCCAACAGTTTCATTCTTTTTAAGAGGCACATAGATCTGACTATCGTCTGCATAACAGTGGAATGACATACCATGCTTCCTGAGTATGGAACCAAGCGGGAGCAAATAAAGAGAGAAGAGAAGAGGGCCTAATATTGAGCCCTGTGGGACTCCACAAGAGAGAGGAGCATAGGAGGACACAGAATCAGAATAAATAGTTTTAATACAGGCACGTTTTTAAAAGGCATTAACAAACATTCTCAAAAAGCGGCTCACTTTAAAATAGGATACTTGCAAGAGACAGGTTAAAAAAAGAAGAAGAAAGAACGGTCAGACTTGAAGCAGCAGAAGCCGACATATCAAAGGATCCAACACTTACCATGATGCAAATCAAAGTGTTTTACCTTATGCCATGCTCACGTCATATGGGATGGATGGTTGACAGGGGAAAGATTCCCATATTTACTCATGACTGACTTATGAACGCAGAGTTGGCATTGTTAGGGTTCATTTTGACATGTAAGATTATATCTAGCCTATTAAAATTTGTGTTTAATAACCCAAAGCCGTTTGGCTGATGTGATTGCATCTGTGTCTGTTTGATTTTTCAGACACATCCAGAAATGTGTCCCAGCGTTTCCCAGTCATAATTACAACTTGAATGTTAATGTGAACACTCCTAACAAGTTGGAAACTGGCAATTATGACAACCCAAAAATGACTGGAATGCAGCAGCAGACCCTCCGTGCTCGGTAAGTGGCCATAACTTTCAAACTCCACTCATCCAGTTTGAAAGGCAGGCCTTATGTAAGAAATGTTGAGTAGAACAATTCACTAGTAAACTGATCTCTGGATGTCAAGTTGGTGGCGAGGCCCTACAGTGTCAGTGGTAATCCAGTGAGACAGAGTTCAGGTGGAAGTAGGGACAGCAAACATAAACACGTGTTTAATTATCATGAGTTATGGCAATATGAAAAACCTACCACGCTTACCTTTTATATGAATCTCCTGTGCAACTTTCATTTGAATTCTCCCTCCGATCACCCCTCCAGCGTGTGCACCGTTTGTTTGTTTACTTCACTGTTCTGCAGGTGAAGGGCAAAAAAAGAACGTTTGATTAGTTTAAATGAGCCGATGATACCAGTGGCAAAATCTTGATTATGTTGCTCTGCTGCTCCTATAACCTCAGGACATTTTTTTTGTGATTAAGGAAAAGGGTTTGCTGTTATTGTTGACAAAACTTACAGCGATAACCCCCGAGGAATTAGAATCTAGGGCAAGTCTGGCAAGGCAGGTTCCTTCTAAAGCATCCAGAGTCTAACATCCTTCCCATAATTGATGCAAGCTTTTACACAGGGTTGCAGAGATGGCACTGGGATGGTATGAACAATAGTTGTTGGGTTGCATTAATAGTTGGATATAATTTCACAACAACTCAGACGTCTATCAGTTATCCTCACTGGGGGGATCAACTCCCACTAATTAGCAAACCGATGCATCACAAATTTACTCATCAAATCACTGTATGGTGGAGTTCTTTCAGGAGAGGAACAACAACAACAAAAAAAAACAATGCCAGATTTTTAGTTTTAAATGAGCACACCTGCTTTCGCTTCAAACTCCAGGAATTTCAGTAATGAGTGAAGCAGCAGATAACCATTGTTCCTTAAAAACAACATAACAGCCACGAGGCAGCACTAACAGCCGTATCGGATGGCAGTAAATGTTAAATCCAAACAGTGGTGGAAGTATTCAAGTAGTGTACCTAAGTAAAATGTTTTAGTATTTGTACTTTACTTGAGTACATCCTTTTATGCAATTTATATCTCCATGTGGGAGATACTGTAAATATTGTTTGTATACCACTAGGTTTGTTTTTTACAGCTGTGGTTATCAGATGAAGATTTTACATTATAAAAACACATGATAAGACACTATACATCTACTATACTTCTAAAAAAAAGCAAAGTCTGGTCAGATGTATATCAGCTGTTAGCAGTTCCACCAAAGAGTGATTTTTCCTTCCCAGATGGTTGATTTAAATAACAGTTTGAAGCTCAAAGAGGTAAAAGTGTCAAATATTTGACAAAAATAAATTAATGATTAGAAAAAGGTCCAGTAAATGAATGCATGAACTTTTTTCCTTTTTTTCCTACCACATTAGTCATCTCACTCCCCCTCAGGTTCATCTTGTGACCCCTTTGGAGGGAGCCAGACACCTTTGGTTGGAAACCACTGGATTAAACTACTGAACAGTATATTAAGTACCTAGCTAAACCTTGAGCAGCTACAACAGTGCAATGCACCTTATATAACCTAATAATACAATAAATAGGCTAATATCAGTCACTGGGGTCATTTTTCTGTGAAATTTTACTTTTACACTGGATACTTTAGTACATTGGCTGACAATACTTTCTTTTATGGACTTTTTAATGCAGGACTTTTACATTGTTGTGTTTAGTTGAGTAAAACATATGATAAGAATCTAACCTTGTTTGATGCAGTTTGCTCTACAAGTACGATGCGGACTCGTCGCTGCAGATTTTTTGTCTTAGAAAGATGTGAGGACACTGATGCAGTCAGTGTTAATAATTTGCAGGTCACATAAAAACACATCGTAACAATACAAAAAACTTTTCTAAGAGGACAGACTTTTCTTCCACCGTCAATGTGGTCTCACACACTGAAAGGCAAAGATTCTTAACCCAGTCACATGTGTTTCACGTTGGCTATCATAATTCCAGCCTGCATGCATGGTTTTGTTTTTGGTTGTTTTTTTTGGGGGGGTGGGGGGGGGGTGGGGGGTGGGTGGGGGGTGGGGTTGAGGATTACACAAAGCTAGCACTAAGCTCATTCTCATGAAGTACATTTGAAAATACAGCCACATTCCTCACATATGTGCACTTCCCGTGTTCCCCTTTAAAACTAGTAGACCTATTAGTGTGTCAAGATTACTAAGACTGTTTAAACATCATTTGTCTGTCTCTGTTGAGTTGTTCTACAGTGTTTTTAAAATGAATGTCAAGATGAATACCGTAATAGTAGTAATCAATTATTTTGACCTTAGAGTCTTACACTGGCCCTAAATGAATTTTCTATGATTTATCATCATCATAGACATGTGGGTGTTTAATAATTCAAAGTGCTATTGACCTGAAAATGCACTGCAGTGTTTTAAGGTCACATTTCAGTAGAGGAGGAGCTGGCTTTTTACTGATTGTCTTTTGAGTAAGTTTGAGAGAAGCTTTGATGTTTACCATCACTTATATCACTTTGAGCCATACGTGTGTCAAACAAGTATATATGGATATGATGTAGAGCTAACACAAACTTATTATGATTTCATTGACAAGCAGTGAGGCTGCAAGACAGGTAGTTGTGATCCAAACAAAAGTTCCTTTGTTGCCACGTTAGTTTGGAACAGCTAATTTTGTAAGTCATCTTTAAATGTATGCATGTTAGATTAGACGGATTAACAGTATAAACACAGCAGTAATTAGAAGGTCAGGGGTCATGGCACGAATAATCTAATGGTTTCACAGTTACCACAGATGCAAATACGCAAATGCTCACAAACTGTAACTGTGTACAAAGATAAGACATTTGGCTCATTGTTTAAAAAGCTACTTCATTATTCTGCCATTGGTGCTTACACATCTCTCCTGTTCGTCCCGTGACCCACCTCCCTTTCATCCACACTCTCCCCTGCTACTATTCAGTGTGTGCTCACGTCTGTGCATGTGTGTGAATGAACCTTGGGCAGGATAGAGGATCATGTGAAAAGATGTGACTCGGGCTTAATGGTAATCCTTGCCTTTGGTAAAAATGGCACAGTGGGAGTCATTAGGAGGGAACTATAGGATCGGATCATATGACTGTCGGCCTCTGTCTCCCTTCTCCCCTTCTTTCTCCTCTAAGACAGTGCCTGCAACTGCTTGTCACTGCTTGCTTGAGGCATCTGTGGTATAACAATAGTAAAAGTCCACAGCCATGCTGTAGGCACAGCAGCGCCACAGACTCGAGCTAAATGGTTATGTCAGCGTCTCAGCATGCTCACAATGACAATGCTAATGCTGATGATGTTTAGCATATTTGCTAGGTTCACCTTTTTTACTTTAGTGTGCTGGCATGCTAACATTTGCTAATTAGATAAAAGTACAAGTAGCGTACATCTAAGGCTGATGGGGAAGTCATTAGCTATGCAGGCATTTGGTAAAGTATTGGACACATTTACATTGTGAATTTTCTGCGTTTCCTTTCTTTCTTTAAGCGCAAACTGAAAACATGCATGAAAACTTGTGGATGGAAACACACCTATTATTGAGACATGTTGACATTTTGTCATTCAATTTAGAGGACTTGTTCAGCCTGGACTAAAGAGGTGGACAAATGGATTATTGCTAACCATAGAGCAAAGAACATACTAAAACAACAAGAAAACAAAAATACATTCAAGTAATTTCTACCATCAAAGATTTGATCTCAGAGACAAATGGGGCCGCTATTAGATACCCTGTTCCAAATCATCTAATGTAATTACTTCATTGAGAACAGCTTGTGAATGCCATATCATACTGAAAATACAGAATAAGTTTTACAGAAAGTTCACATCCTAATTGAGCTGGGAGTGAATGAAGGTCTATCCTGTGGGACTGTCTGCTGACGGAATGAAGCAAACTCATGACCAAACCTCTGGGGGGTGGTGAGTAAGAGAGAGTGTGAAATCTGAAAACTAATGCAAAAACCAACAATGTGCGATATGAAGGCACTAGAGGTCTGTTACCTCATAGTGGCAACATTTCTCATATACATTTGGTGGTTATGACCGATACATTTGTGCTGGGGAGAAATCAATTTGGATCCTTGAATGGGGGGAAAAATAAAAACTCCATTAAGTTTCACACCATATCTGGTGCAGGAATACAAATAAGCCGGGGAATAAGGGAATGCAATTCTATTGCAAAATGTACAAGCCTATGTTCTGGGAAAGACAACAGAGACTTTTCAACAATAAAACAATTAATTCTTACAATGGACGTTTCTTCTGTGATAAGCATATTAACAGTCACAAGCTTGAATTCCACGACAAATGAGTTATCCGCCGTAGCAGAGGTAACAGTAGTTTTAGATGTCACAAAATACAATTTATACAAATTGTAAACAAGTATTGAATAAACACTGAGTAAAACTGAAAAAGCAGCCTTTAACTTTGCCTAAAATGGACCTCTACACTGTTGGTGTGATACTGTCTAAATACCAGCAGAGGGCAGTGATGTCTCATGTTAAGTTTTGTACTAAGGTAAGCATCCAATCTGTGTTTACAGCAGTTCTGGGTGCGGATCCACCCAATGTACACATACTATGTATTAGAGATGCAACGTTTTTTAAAAACAAGCCAATATTTTAGCTATAAACAACCTTTATCTTAAAGAATTTGACTCCTACATGAAAACTCAAGAGACTTTCAAGAGTTTTCATAACTCATCAATCTTTAAAAAACATACCAATCCCAAGTTTACTGAGAATATGATTCAAGTGAAAAAAAGTTATAGTTTAATATATATTTCAAATTGCAAGCATCTATGCTTTCACATCAGAATACTGGAAGTGTGCAAAGGGTTTTGGTTCAAGACAAATATGTGAAAGAAATTAAGAGGCAGAGGTAAGGTAAAAGTGCTTCCACTACAGGCTAGTTCAGAACTTTTAGGCACTATACTTCACATCAGTTTTGCAGAAATACAGAATAAGC